CAGGTGCTTATTTTCATGTTAATGAAAAAACGTATCGCACGGCAACCTTAACAGTGGTACTTAGACATACAAGCTTTCCATAACCCTGGAGCAGGATTCTATATCACGCCTACCGTGCCGCAAGTAGGCTATTTCATCCAAAGGAACGCCTGTTCGCAGAAAAAAAAAATCTTCGCCAGGTTGGAATGACTGGGCCTCTGCCAGAAAGAATCAAGTCTGTGGATGTCGCCATTACACCTTGTTAAAAAAAACCACTGATCTTGCAGTGACCACTGACACTTGAATCTTATCATAAAGCCAGACCACTATCCTCTACCCCACTCCTGATGCCTGATGAGGACGTGCCTAATAATCTTCTACGGTTCGAGAAATTGTGTGGCACAAATCAGTTATTGACACATTTTTCTTTTGCTAAAATCTGTTTCTGAAGATTTTACGCGGCTGCAAGACTGTCGGTTGCAATATTATGATATCCTGTTGTGTTATATTGGCATACCAGTTGTGATTCAACGGATGTAACCCATAATTTACCACACCTCTCATTTTCTACCTCTGGACTACGGAATTCAGCTCGATTTTCAATGGCTATTGGAATACTTTCATGGCAGCCTCCCCTACTGTACCTTCACATACATGGTATGTTAATCTTCAGAAATGTGGCCGCAATCTGGGATATGCTGCAACTGCTCTTGGAGAATGGCCTGGTTGTGTGATACGGAAAATACCTCTTCGTGGAATTTCTCCGCCATGAAATCACCGTCGGCACCCATCCTTTTCTCACCGTGGTAGAAGCGGGGATTATCAACCCACCATTATCTATTTATTCGACATCACTGCTTTCTCCTTGGAATCGTTGGTAGAGTGGAACCCCACTGTAGTGTCTCTCCTAGTAAACTAATGAAACTAGGGACAAGGCCAATAACAACATAAAGAACGCCCTTTTGTCAACCATAATTAATGCTGTCAGGCTCATGTTTCAGTGCAACTCGCACCTTAAACAGCATAATGGCTATCAGGGTATCATCATCATCATTTGGGAGCTAACGCCGGCAGGGGCGCATCGCCGCATCCACCCTGAATACCTGTATACAAGTTTGCTATTAGTCCAACAATCCTTGCTGGAATTCCTCTTAGCCTCAGGATCTCCCAGAGTGATTCGCGATGCACCGTATCAAACGCCTTCTTGAGGTCGATGTAGGCTGCGAGCAGCCCACGCCCGAACTCACGATGGCGCTCTACAATGACTCGAATCGCAGGATGCGGTCTATTGTGAACTTACCAGGAGTGAATCCAGATTGCTCCGGCCTTTGGTGCCTGAGCAGGTGGTCTCTGATACGTCTCAGTAAGATGTGCGCGAGTACCTTGCCTGGTACAAGGTACAAGAGTAATGCCTCGGTGATTGCTGCAGTCCCACCGATCCCCTTTCCCCTTCCAGAGAGGGATGACCACACCCCTCAGCAGGTCAGGGTATGCCAGTTCTACAAGGTTTCTTCTGAAAGAAGCTCTGCTAAGCGGAAATCAAGAATTCTACCGTCGCTGCCAATCTCTCTTTCTCGATATTCTTTCTGAAAACGGTCCTTTCATTATGTGAACAGACACCAGATGCTAGTTCGGAGAGAGATATCTTCAGTTCCTATTATTCTAGGGAATACCATGTGCCATGAAATAACCAACAATCGTCACTTCTGTATGTACCAAAAAGTAAGCTGTCCTGATAAAAAGTCCTGCAGAGAATTACTTGTTAATAGTGAAAAGTCATTTACAAATACTATTGATGCGCGGGTTGCGTGAGCAGTGCCTTATGAGACACTTATATAAATAGCAGAAATAACCTGGTAGTCCTTCAAGAGGGCATTTTGGGTCCAGTTTGTCAGGGAACATTGCAGTAACCCAGTAAAAGGGTGTCTGATAATTTTGTAATGCTGTGATTGAGCTTCCGATTCGTTTGTAGTACTTTGACAACATGAAACTGGGCAGCAGAATTCTATTTGATGTCACTTCCGTCAAACTCTGCGTGAGAGATTGCAATGAGGAATTGCGATTTGTGTTGTCTCGGTCAAACTCAGTGTTGTGTGTTTATTTTATATCTGCCTACGAGAATCAGTGTGTTTAGCGTGTTCTATATTTCTGGATGATGATATGAGGGATCAGTGTTCAATGATCTTGAAAAAAAGAGAAAAAGTTTGGTATTTGCGGGGGGAAAAAATGTCAGGAAGGATGCGGGAAGGGACAGTGTGGAGAAGGGTTACTAGATGGGAGGGAGCAAGCGCAGAGGCGAAGATTTTGAGAATGTAAGCAGGAGTATGGTCGTGTCCAGTCCCGAGAGTCTGCATTAAAGTCAGCATTCCAGTAAACTGATAACGGATAGTTGCCCCCTATACTGCAGGCTTCCAGCGCATTATCTTTATTCTTTCATATCTGATGGTCTTTTTGGCCATATTAATTAATATGAAATTTGTATATGGAAAGCTACATAACGATAACTCTAGAATATAGCTATTTCAGCCTGAAATATTTTTTTGTTTGTAGTAAGCGATTACTGTAGTACATTATTTGTTAATACTACACGATAGCAAGTGCCATGATTCATTCCTGTTTGGAACACGAAAGGAAGAAAGTCTTGTACAGGCTGAAGAAAAACCGAAGCTGTATTCTGTCTTGGGGCTTAATTTGGCAAGATTCATTTTGATACGGAGATACACCATCCCGCTAAAGAGGAGAAGAATAGTGAAAGAAGACATCATGGCAAATAATTTAAGCCTACAAGTAAGGGAATAGGGACAGGAAAAAACTTTCGCGGAAGGATGGTGCAACTGTGAACTAGGAAAATAATTGTTTTTGATAAATAGATTGAAGTTTCTTTCATTATAGATATCAGTTATTTGTTATGTTTCTTATTAATTAAAAATTAATTATGTCAGGAACATAAACTCGCTCAACAGCACAAGGCAAGATCATATGAATGCAATATTACAAGGCAAGAACATCTGATATAACCATGTCATCAAAAACTACAGTATTGTCACTGATGAGTACTTTCCTGGTAATTTTTCAGAATACCTTCATATAACTAATCTTGACATTTTTGTTATTGAAGGATTCCTCTGACTCTACTCTCCAAACTTCGATATTATGCCATGGAAACACCCCCTATTTGCAACATTGGTCCTAATATGGGAGGGCATGAAATTTACCAGGGATATTTGTGGGGTTAAATAGGAATAAAATACACAGAATCAGTTTCTATATTTCTAAAACAGGGGGCTGTTCCCCCTGTGACCCCCCTTCTGGAGGCTCCCAAACCCTGCAAATTCACGACAGGGTAGAGTGTATGACCCACATGTGGGAGCACCTAATGCCAAGTCTGTCTGATGCTCGGTCCTGTTGTGAATACATAGAATTCTCTGTTTTCCTAA